GGAAAATTTAAGGAGTTATTATTATGTACGTTTAGATGATACAACCGGTAGGATACTTTTGCACGTTACTGTAAGTCGGACCACTCGATAGGTCAGATTTCTTGATAAGTTGGACAACCATCCTAGCCAGTTGTTTTCGACTTTATTGAGTTTACCTATGTATGTGCATATAAAAGTGTGAGTTAATATGTTCTTACCAAATTTATCAGTTTGTCTTGGTTAGGTAGTGCTCATCAAGCTGTAAGGAGAGAGAATTCAATAAATTTTGTAACACGAGTCATACGAATCACGCATAACCCAGTAACTATTTGTATTTCAAGATGTTATCTTTGAACTCAGTCTGCTGGGCTGTATTTTCGGTTTTTATAATCTTAAGTTGAAGTTTGTAATGCTCAGCTAACAGTTTGACAATTGAACCATTGGGATAATACACGAATTTTATGTTGAATAAGGACACACGTTTGCATCATTAGTAAATGAATGAATGAATGAATGAATAAATGAAAACAAGTTAATAAATATAACCAACGAAATATGGAGATTTCTTGCTCGTTATAGCATTTGACATCCACAACTTAATACTGCAATGAATAACTATCGGCGAAGGTTTAATGGTGGATTCAGTTTGACGATATGTTTGTTAGAGCTTATAGAATTTTTTTTTAAAAAAAAGGGTTTATTTGTGATCGGATAATACAATAACACATATTCTTATTAGATAACAGCAGCAAGATATAACACACTTGCAAATTGGCGAATTATTATCAGATCTGTTATATTTTTTTACTTTCAAACCGACAGTAACATTTCGCTTAGTGTACGTCTTATAACTAGTAATCATATAATGTTTACTGTAAGCGGTTAACATTGGTTACAGTTATTTTTCAACATGCACGTATAGTATTGTTAGTTCAAAACGTCCATAAATTGTATAAAAAGTTTCGATGAACACTTTGCAAACTAGTATTGCAGATTTAACTTTATTTGACAAATACTAGGAAAGCCAGTCACCTGTATTGACACCAAACTACATAAACCAATCTTTAAAGCAATTGTAGTTGCGACTTCTAGTTGAATAAACCACGTTGTCTCTTTTGAGCAACGCAAACCTTCTTTTTACACTTTCCACTGGAGCAATCGTCGTTAGCTCCACAAGTTTCTCCATTGTCGCATTCTTCAGCTCCGATCCCAAGGTCACATTTGCAGACTCCATTAACACATGACCCGGTGACGCATGTACCAGTGGAATCACATGGTGTCGGTGAAAATTGTCTTGTGTTCAAGCCATTTTTATAATAATCTCTCGGTCGTGCATGCACAGCTGTTTATCAACCAGAGTAGAGGAACGTGAATTTTAAGTTTTTTGATGCGGATCAAAAGTAGCACCAATATAATGTTTAAAGAATAACCATACCATTATCGCTGAGCAGCAAAGCAAAGACTACCACAATACAAACAAAAAGCGACAGACCGAAACAGTTCTTCATGGTGTTATTTTACAAAGAATGTAAAGAATGTGAGTTAACGGTGGTATGGTGGTATGCTGTAGAAGGAAGCGCAGCTATCCTCGTAAATGCTTGTGGGTTGTTCTGGGTTGAAATTCCGTGTGTATTTATATGTGTTTGCGTTCAAACTCGGTGAGGAGAAGTATTATGAAAGAAATAATATGCAATTAATTCAAGTATTAAATTTATTCTGCTGATCGGAATACTATGCGGGCCTAATTGTGGAAAAAACTTGTAATGCCGATCTCTGCAATATTAAGATGCCAATACTTGTGGTTTACACTAATACAAATGGAGGAATAATGGATTGTCATACAACGGTGCCTTGGTGTTTCGATTACCAACTCCTACTTCATAACGATAATAGAAATACTACCTGAATTGGATTAAGCCGATCGGCTTTCTCCTGTAGATCGTAATGGGGTCCGCCGACAATCATTTTGTGTTCACATTGTCGGAGTAGCATCAATGACGAACAGTTTTTCACCCTAAGCGAAGCGAACCATATATCAGTAATGACTTGTTTCTGCGGGGCTTGATTAAAAATTTTAGCAAACACATCGTACCAGTTTCTTGCGGCGGGCTAAGCAAACTATGTGAGAATACTTTATAATAGCATCGCATCGCATCGATGTACATGAGTACAATATGTCTTGTCTTGTGACAACTTTTATTATTTCATTTGGTAAATTAATAACTTTCCTGTTATGACATTCTATCATTGCTAGCGTGTGTGATCATAAGATTCGGTGATCAAAAGCAATTTATGCATCGGAAACGGGATGGATTATTTGTGTACACTAAACATATTTATTCAACTTGCCGGATACAAAGAAGAGTAAAGGCCGTTCATAATTATTACCTTCTTTAAACAATAAAAACGTCTAATTATGTATTTATTATGCATCATAAAAGGTTAAGGTATAGACCTCAGTAACAGTTCATATTAATATTGTTGTGATCGGCGAAATTGGCTATGTGATTTTCATCAAGATTCCGGTAGACATTTCAAAGCATCAAAGCATCTGTAGTAGTCAATTTTCAGAAAGCATAAAAACGTCAAGAAAACATATAGAGATGACGTAATCGAGCTGATTATGTAATAATCTTTTTGCAAATGAGAAAAATTACTTGGAGTTTGCGTAACCACACACTCGGGTAAAAACGCTTTAAATGACAATTTGTTCTTGTATTGGTTTGTAATTTAAATTAAAATTTTCTCTATTTTACTAAAAGCGTTTCACAATGAATGAGCCATTACCATATGCACAACCAAACTACTTCTAATCTTACCGTGTAGACGTTTACAGAGTGAACGTTCTAGATGTGTTTTTCGGTTAAAATATACAAAATAAACTAGCAGGCAAGTGATTAAACTCTTGTGTAGCTGAGGTCATCCATCCGTAGAATTGGAATCTGCGCCCTATGTGTGAGGGGGTTTGCAAATCCGATAAGGCGAAGATTGACATTCCGGCCTCGATCGATAAATTTATCATATTTTTCTCCGCGAGTTTTTTGAATTCTTGATAATCGATCAGAAGTGTTGGGAGCATATAAAAGACTGCAACTATATTTGCTAATATTCGAAAGATGGTAACTACTAACCTTCAAGAATCTTTTCTTGACTACAATCGAGGATTTTATACAACGCTATTATATAGGAAAACAAAATACAAATAAACACATCTCCGTTATTGACCTTTCTATCCCATTTTTTTACTTGAAGCATCAATATCAATAATCAGCGTCAAAGGTTTTAGACCATAAATAGATTTATAAATTCCGGTCAAACTGTGAAGCTTTAGATTCCCGCTCTACCTGGGTAACTAATTCGTTGACTAATTTTTCTTGTGTATATGCTAATTCTACAATTATTGTATATCTTCTAATGAGCCTTTATCTGTTTTACAAGTTATTTAGTTGCAAATTTGGTTTTAGCGTCCGATTCATAATAAGAACCATAATCTCCAGAATCAGTATCTGATATGTATATTTACTATTCGAATCACTAAAATAATTATTGGTTCCTCCTTTTTTGTAGCGAATGAGTTGCGCGTTGGTTTCCTGCGCTAGGTATGTCATTTTGTGAATTTTATTTCTTGTGGTATTTTCGGATGTATACTATTTTAGTACTATTCCGAAATATATTTTGTCGTATGTAAATCCCATGACCGGATTTACACATGCAAATCATGGAATTTACATACAACATGTATATGATGTTGGTAATATATTATTCGGGAAATATGTAATCAGGTGTTGTTACAAAGTCGAATTTCCCTGAACCGCTTACCTTGTAAAAAATGTGGTAAATTGACTTTTTCTAAATATGGTTCTTGTAATACCTATGTTAAAAAACATCGAAACATTATCAGAATATGCCAGCAAAACTCGCCCAAGATGATTATAGTCTGAATATCGGAAATAATTATATTTTCTTTACTCAAATAGTTAACCAAGGGATTTCCCTCCCGAGATAGTAACACCGGGGGTAATTTGGATCACTCAAAAGCCATTTACTCGAAAACACTATTTAGTGTTGTACATACCATAAATTTATGTAATATTGGACAAAGTTATACAAACCAATGAACACGTCAATTATGCGCAATAAATTGGCTTTGATCAAATTAAGGAAACTGGATCTGGCGGTTACGGAACGGCTTATATATGCTGCCAGATATAAACGATGTCAGAGCGTAATATGCAAGAAGCTGTTGTACTTGAACGTTTTAAATGCCGGAATTATTTATTTCCGAGGTAAGCAAGTGTTACTAATTAAATAAAGTCTAACTTTTTATCAAGTGTTTGTATAGTACTTTTCCTAAAATTTATAAAGTCATGCAAGACCTAGAAACTTGACTGTTATGCAATATGTTAAGAATAATAGTCTTTTATCTTATTTGGATCAAAATATTAACAAATTGATGTGGAATAAAATTAGAGCGTTTACAATTACAGTATCTGTCTTCATGGTGGAAATCTGAATACAAGATCTTCGATTCGTTAAAGCATATAGTCCGTCCCGATTAGTGAATTCACATGTGTCGAACACAAACATTCGAAGCGTGTTACTTTTATTGCACGCACCGGAAGTTTTTCATATATGCAAATTTACTCGGGAATCAGACATGTATTCTTTTGTATTTGATGTCCCATTTTTAGAGATAGGTAGGTTGGGATTTAATATGTGATATTGTGGGCAAACTACATCCATTAATGCCTGATTTAGCATCCAATAATTACCGAGTAATGTTGCAATATTGATTCTGACAAGCGTCCACCTTTATGGGAAATCAGTAATATTATTTCCAAGACATTAAGGGGACAATTTGACGACAACATGTGGAATACCATTTTTCGTAATGGTAGTAAGATTCTTGTCACGTCTGAAGAAGAGTAAATATTCAGTAAGCTCTTACCTACTGGAGGTTTGCATAAACCGACAACGGTTATGATTCTTATTTGCAGGTATGGAGGCATGACTGGGTTACCTTGATGTTAAAATGGGTCACATACTTAATATTAACATTGACAACTGCCTTATAATTTAGCGACTCAAAAAATTGACTACGTTGGTTTGTTTTGACGAGTAGTATGTCAATACAGTTGAATTAATGATCTTAATTAAACAAATGTCGAAACTATAAACTATTACTAAAAACAATGCACTCAACTGATTGTCGTTATGGCATTATAAAATTAGAAATTCACTATTTCTATCATCAAAGAATGATGAATGGCTCTGTCCACACTTACGTTAATTCTTATTTGTTGTAAAATTACAGTAAAAAATAATTATTAACAATGAAAATTTTCTAAAACATAGTTACTTTATAAGTACGATACTAGCAGTGTGTAACAAAAAAAGTATATTTTTTTATGCGACGACGTTTTCTGTCCGATTCGGGAGAGTGTGATTACGATCCTGATTCCTAACGCAATTTTTGTTTAATATACAAACACAATGCCCACTTTAAAACAAGAAACATATGTCAATGTCTATTACATTTGTGGGACAAAGGCATTCGAATGGCCAAGAAATTTGTCGCCAAACAAATATCCCCCTTTCCACCATTTACGATAACATAAAAAAGTCACGCGCGAGTTAAGCAAACTGTTTATCCAAATCAGCAAAAGCATCTCTCAAAACTTTACCATAATTTTCACCACAATGCCATCACTTTCAAAATCTAATTTTTGCCGTTTTTTTGCTTGTTTTTGAATAAAATTTCCTACTTTTTCAATGTTTTTGAATACTTGATAATCAGGACTCACCGAAAATCCAAAATTTTCTAGTTCTTGTAAACAAGAAAATTGGCTTGACAAATCGCTGGCCAAACTCTTTACCGAAAAAGAGTAAACCAAGATTTAGATGCCGAAACCTTAAATTCCGAGTGAGAAATCCGTTATAATCGGTTAGAAAACTTAAATAATCAGACTAACCGAGAAAAAAACAAACTGGCTGCGCGTTTTTTGTACCCTTGTTTTTTATTTACAATTTATATTTTCCATAATTGTTTTTTTTTATAATTTTTTTTTCTATAATTTTTTGTTTTTATATAATTACCAAAAAAGAGCCCGAGGTGTACGATAAGAGCCGTAATATAAACCCTTGCCTATATGTGCGTACAAAAACAATGGTCGTTCCAGGAAAAATAACCGGAAGAACATCCAAGATAATCGGACAATCAATATGGAGAAATGACACGGACTTTAGCTCGAAAAGTGTCAAATATGGCGTTAAAGAACAAACAACAATATAGAGTAAATGGATGGTTATTTTATTTTTGTCTTTCTATTAATATCAATATCATGTGCAACCAATAAAACGCATATCCGTATGCATGCTCTGGCTCATTCCCAAGGGCGTGCATATATAGAAGGTTGACTGTATACTGAAGAATTTTACTCATAATGTCATGTGACAACAATAATCCACACAGTAACAACCCAAGCCACAAGACAGACTGATTATTATC